GTGCTATGTACTACTCTGTCAAGAAAGTACCGGGAAAAGATCAATAATACAAAAATGTCTGTTATTCATCCAAATTTATTTTATCACCTTTAAACTGTCAAACACCGAGCGGTCAGTGTTTGACAGTTTAAACTGTCACCGGTGACCGCAACCTATTGTTCTTTAATTGTCTGTAATGACGGTACTCAACGAGTTAAAGTATGCTCCTTTAGTGACGATACATTTGCGCCAACGAATAATCTATTCATCAAAACATTTTTTAAACGCTGCTTCCAGAATTGAGTTTAGTTCTCGCCGCGAATTCTCCTTTACGTCTTCTATTGATTGAAAACGGGTGCCACGAAGTGGTAATTTGAGTTTAGGAAAAAGAAAAAAGTCAGCAGGAGCCATATCTGGTGAATATGGTGGTTGCTGGATGGTATTTGTTGAGTGTTTGGTCAAAAATTCGTTTACCTTGATGCCACCAATGATAGCCTTGTGCGAAAGCGCTGTGTCGTGGTGCAAAATCCAAGAATTTTCTTTCCACAAATCTGGCCTTTTTCGTCGAATTTGCTCTCTTCAACGCCGCATAAAGCTCAAATACTATTCTTTATTTACCGTTAGACCTTCCCGTAAGAATTCAGAGTGCACAACAGCGCGATAGTGAAAGAAAACAGTCAACATGACTTTGACTTTTGATCGACTTTGGCGTGGTTTTTTCGGTTTCGCTTCAGTTGGAAGGCGCCACTCCGAAGCTTGTTGACTAGTTTGCATGCCAAACTCATAAACCCACGTCTCGTCACCAGTAACAATGCGTTTTATGAATGTTGGGTCCGAACTGACTCGTTCTAGCATATCCTCAGCGACTTTCATGCGATTGAGATTTTCGAGAAAATTTAGATCTTTTGGAACTAGCCGAGCAGCAACATGTTTCATACCCTTTAATGTATAGTATAGATTAGTTAAAATGGTACGGATCGACTCGTGAGATACAGAAAGTACGGCGGCTATCTCTCTCAGAGTTGAATGGGGATTTTTAGTCACTATTTCCTTCACTTTTGCGATGTTAACTACAGTTGCAAACCAGAGCGAGGCAAATCTTCCATCACATCTCGACGGCTTTTGAACGCTTTGAACCACTCATAAGCACGAGTTTTTAATAAAGTCGATTCACCGTAAGCTTTCTGTAACATTTTCAGTGACTCCGAACACGAAATTCCATTGGCGATGCAAAATTTAAGACAAACTCTTTGATCGATATTTGTGTCCATTATGAAATTCACAATATACGTTATATATGATATTTCTGAAACCAGCGCTGTATTTAATATAAATAACAGATGCAACTCAAACTCCGCGCCAAAATGGAAAACAGTTGTGCCAATCTAACAACTACAAAAAAACTATTTTTAAATTTGGAACCATAAACAAATCATCCATTTCCGATACTTTTTTGAGTGAATGTAGGTATATGCGCATCACAAAGTACCTATTTATTTAGTTCTGAAAATAAAAATAGAATAAGATCATTATAAATGAAAATACCCGCCTATTGGGTTTTTTCCCACATAAAAACCGGGTTTTTTCCGGGAAAAAACCCAAAGGGAAAAAACCTAGGTTTTTTCCCTTTGGGTTTTTTCCCAGTGCCCATCTCTAGGTTTGTTACATATCTAGGTACTTATATGTCTTTAGAACTTAGCTCTTGTTGTTTGATTTGATTTTTTCGTATGGGATCAAATGACTACATACATATAAGCAAAAGAAATCTAGTATGTTTCTCAGTCTAAAAACTGTACAATTCTAATATACCTATAATCTTATAATTCAACCTCATCATTCGCTTGATGAAACTGATGTGTAAAAGTGCTGCCTTGTAGCCTATTTGCAGAAATAAATTCAATTGTTTCACTTGATTATATATTCACCTTATTTTGCTTCAACAAATTAGTTCAAATTACTCAAAACTTAATATAATTTAGTCAAGAAGTTACCGTAAACTACAACCATTTATTAAAACACCTATAGTTAGTATTCATTTCACAGGTTTTCCTTAAATGAAGATAAAATGTCTTGCCATTACTGTTACAAATATTAACAATTTTCCTTGATTTGTTATTAATAGATGTAAATTGGAAGTTTAAAAATAGAATCATCATATGGTCTAAAAATAAGTACATGTAAGGCTTGATTTATTATTTATGGTTGTGTTTATCAAACTGTATTGTGGTTAAATGGTTGTTTGTAAGTATCACACACGGCAGAGATTCCATAAACCAAAATATATTATGGTTTATGGAACTTAATCATTCACATTTAATTAACAACTGAAATTACTTAAACTGTCAAACACCAAGTGGTCACCAGTGACCCCAACCTATTGTTCTATAATTGTGTCTACAAAGACAGTACTCAATGAGGTAAGGGATTAGGGTGTTAGTAATTTGAACTATTCTTAACTCGTCGAGTACCGTCATTATAGACACAATTATAGAACAATAGGTTGCGGTCACCGGTGACCGCTTGGTGTCTGACAGTTTAATTCACTCAAATCATTTAAATAAGTAAATACCAACATCATTTCAAATAGTATAAATACATTAAATCTATTAAATTCAATGACACATAAGCATTTTTGTTTTTTAGCTGATTAAGTAATTACCTTATTTAAAATGTACAATTTATATGATCTTAGTTATTTACCATACATTTGCCGTCTGACCTCTACAATCATTAAATAACCAGATCATTGCAGTACTGAATGTAGTCACATACAAAAATACTTTATATATAACTAAATCCATAAACAGCAAAATTTTATATGCCTGTTACTGTATTAGGATAATGAATTAGCTGCTTTATACACCTAGATCTTCTTAATTTTCATAATGGTACCAATTTAAACCATACCACTGTATCTTTGCAAGTTTACAAATCCTTACTAATATTATAAATCGGCTAGTGAGTTTGTCAGTTTGTTCCGCTTTCACGCTGTAACTTCTAGACCGATTGCTTTGAATTTTTGCAGATGTACAGTTAGAAGTCTAGATTAAATAATAGGGTACTTTACATCCCGGAAAAATTTGATATTCTCGAGGGAAAACCAAAATTATTGGTATAGATGGCACTGTGTGTATTGGTATATGTCATATAGAGGCTACTTTTATCCTTTTGTGACGCGAGCGAAGCCGCGGGTAAAAGCTAGTTGTAAATAATTCTTTAATAATTACAAATTCAATTATAAAATTAATGAAAATAGGACTTGTATTAAAATATTCCTTTTAAAACATGAACCTATGCTTCTGCATCACAAATGGGTTTTCTTTTGAATTGAGAACCCACAAATACAAATTTTACATATGCATCCCACATTCACACCCAGGCATGGACCAATTTGTGGATTCCATGAAGAATTATGCCATACATGAAAAAACCTACAGCATTACTGAATTTTTCTTATGAAAATATACCTAATTTAAGTATTGTCAATGCGAACAAATTTTTTGATGCTTTAATTTAATTTTCTCCATTAGTTTCAGTTTATTTTGAGTTTTACACATTTATTTACTTGCCTATTTATATTATTTTATGTTCACACATCAAATCCTATGTTACTACTATTCTAATGTTGTAATAATCTGGATGTAATAACATATGGACTGAAGAGCTGAATAGTATTCAAAACTTTACAACAAACAGACTTTTTATTCCCATTTGTTTACAATACAAGTTTTGAATTAAATAGATTCCAAGTAGTATTTCTATAGCACACCAAGTCACCTGTACGTCTCAGAAAAAAGGCAGAAGACAGAAATTACATGGATCTAAAGCCAATCTAATATTTAAACGCAGCATACAATGTACCATCAAGTGACTGTTTAAAACATTTAGTCTATTTATGAATCACACCGCAATACAAATACTAAGTAACCAAGCATTACTGGATTACAAATTGTTTATTAAACTAATATTAAGCTTGTGTGTGTATGTACTTAGCATTTGCAATGCAATGCCTAGCTACAGGTTCCATCTATATGTACATTGCTATGTTTACGAAAACTTAATGTGACTTTGATACAAAATAATAAGAATATACGTAAACATGCATTACTCACCATGAATGTCAAATTATCCTGTTTGAATAGTCCTCGTGTATCCTTCATAGAATCATACTTTATCACACTCTTAAGTCATTCAATTTATAAAACACTGTATTATATGTATTTCATTTCACACGTACACACTGAATATAAACTTCAAAAATGTTTACAAAGGAATCAAGCTTCAATAGCATAGTAGGTTGGATTCTAAAAATACATCAACATGATAAAACAGTATGAATGTGTTAACATAAAGCAACACAATGATGACAATATGTTATACGGATTGTGAATCCGGATTAACCGCTTCACGTGCGTGATAGGGTGCTAATAGTGATAGGCTGGAGCTAATGATAATACCAAAATAGATACATATGCACAATGGAAAAATAGAATTGCAAATCAAAATTTCTAGCTGTTACACTTAAATATACCGCATAAATAAATTTAAATGCACTACTATCACAGGTAATCTAAGGTACAAACGAATTAAACAAAATAATAACACTGATAATATAATCGAGTATAATATCACTGGACTTTAGAAAGTCGTAGGTACTCATGAATTGACCTGTATATTCAATAAATATGCTAAGGAATTACACTAACGATGTACAAAAGAATCCAAAACCTCTTATTCGATAAAATCACTGTATTACAACAAGAAACGCAAAAACTTGTAGCTGAGCAAAGTATACAAATAAAATATCTTCCCATCCACCATCACATAACCACCACTACTTGACAAGCACAGCACAGCACCATAATACACATAAAAGTATCGGTAAAAAATGGAACAACACTAGCGACAAATAACCGATATTTATTTCATATCACGTTTGTAGTCGATTATTGTAATAAAATTAACTTTATAGTCTGTGGCCTGTTTCCGTCTATGGTAATCACTCCATCGTAAATATAAACAAACTCTATGGTTCAGCACTTCAATTGTCAGAAAAGAAGAAAAGAAATCAACATTTCAAAGACGAATAGCCCAAGGTGTCAATCAGGGTATATTAGGTACATTTTTTGTGCAAAATAAAATTAGTTTAAGGCCTAAATAAAATCAACAAAATGGGAAAAGGGTTTAATAATTACATGTGCAAAAAGTTCTTCCATCCTGCATCAAGAGATAATTTAAAAAGGGTAAGTGAAGTAATGCGTATTGTATTTTATGCTATACTTTCGTTCGTAAGTTTCATGTTGTTTATCAATAACTTTGTATCAGCTGAGTTTTGGTTAAATATTAAACTATTTCATCGTTATGTATAGGTATGGATGGCAGAACAGAAAACAGAAGCTTACAAGAAAAAACAAGAGGAATTACGTGTTCAATATGAGAAAGAACAAGAATTACATGAAAACAAGTAAGTTGCGTGTACAGTTGTGGTTTTATTCGAGTTCTGACCTTGAAGTAAAAGCTATCTCACTAAACTATTATTTTCTTCTAGGGCATTGCTGAGCAAAGATAGTAAAGATAAATTGAGCCTGAATTTTATGTATGAGCCGCCCCCAGGCGTGAAGAAAGAGAGAGAACGTGAAGATAATGAACCTGAGTACAAATTCGAGTGGCAACGCAAGTACAATGCACCCAGGGAGAGCTATTGTAAGGGAGACAATGAAATCCGTGACCAACCTTTTGGTATACTGGTCCGCAATGTGAGATGTATCAAGTGTCATAAATGGGGTCACATAAATACAGGTAATTAGCATAATTATGTAATTGTATACTGGTATTAACATTGTGGTGTTTTTTATTATATTACATGTTGTTTTTTAATTACTTAAATATGTTGGTTGCTGTAATTGATCAACTGTTGTTACAAATAAATAAATAATATAAGCATCAGTATCATTAAAAATACTTGTGTAATGATTTTACAGACAAAGAATGTTCAATGTACTCCTTATCTATGAGTGAGGCTCGTGCCCTGCAAGCCTCTACTTCAGCTCCTGAAGAAGAAGAGGAAAAACCAGATGTTCCTACACTAATGCAGCAGATGAGAGATACTGGTTTGGTCATGAAACCTGGAGCTCTACCTCTGTCAGCTACAAAAATTGAAGAAAATGATTCTACCAGCTTCACTGAACAGGACCTCATTAGTCAACTGACTAAAAAGCAGAAAAAGAAGTTGTTGAAGTAAGTAGTGATAAGATTTTCTAATTAGACATGTGATATTTTATTACTATAATTAGAATTAGTAACTTTATCATACATTTTATTAGGAATCTATATCAGAAAAAGATTCAAAACATTGCTTAATCTCTCTAGATTAATTTGCATTTGATCATAGCTATTACTGACCTACTTGTGAACCAACACTTCAGTTAACCATTAACATCTTTACATTTATTATTTACAGGAAATTGGAAAAAATGGAAAAACGGTCCGATAAAAAAAAGAAAGAGAAGAAACATAAGAAGTCCAAGCATTAAGAGGTTAGCGCGCATTTAGCTTATAATTATGAGCTAAAGCTAGTATCTGGCCATGGCCAGAATCTCCATTTACTCTATGGCCTTAGAAATATCTACCTCAAGTGGCCTAGATTGCTGAAGCTCTTCAAAAGAAGCAGACTGGAAGGATGTCGATATTGTGCATGTGCTTATTGTTTATTTTTATTTGTAGGCCAGAACACCTTGCATTACTGTTTCAATTATGGTATACAGTTTATATCAATTCTATTAATCTTCGATTTTATTGTGAATAATTGAACAGTTGCATTATAATCCATTTATACTTTAAGCCTGCAGATATTTAACAATTAAAACATTTGTTAAAAATATGCAGTTAATATAATTTTATTGAAAAGACATTTCGTCTTTCTCATCTTAAAGTTGAAGCAAATCTTAAACTTTACTTAAGTTTATTAGTATGTTTTATTAATTTAATCTTGAAAAATAAACACGAAAGTATATCAAATATTTTTTATTTCTCACGCAAACAATAGATTCAACAATATCACAGTAACTTGATCATTAACATCTTTAATATATAATTATATAGAATTAATCTTGTCTAACTTAAAAAAAATATATATTAACAAAATATACTGTATGGATGGGTTGGCAAAATATAACATTTTTCTATGTTATAGTTTTTAAAATAAATGTTGAGATTTTTATTGTGTAATTATTTTTTTATTTCACATGTTTATCACACTTACTGCTGCAATCAATGAATATTGAGTTTCAGATAACTGTATCCCTAAAGTGTCCTAGGCAATTTTATAACTGTAGTTAAGTTTTCAAATAAATCCATAATGTATATTAACTCGTCGAGTACCATCATTATAGACACAATTATAGAACAATAGGTTGCGGTCACCGGTGACCGCTTGGTGTTTGACAGTTTAAAAAAAAAGAAATATTAAACAAGTTATACACAATTAGAGACTCTTGGGTTTTTTCCCAGTGCCCATCTCTAGGTTTGTTACATATCTAGGTACTTATATGTCTTTAGAACTTAGCTCTTGTTGTTTGATTTGATTTTTTCGTATGGGATCAAATGACTACATACATATAAGCAAAAGAAATCTAGTATGTTTCTCAGTCTAAAAACTGTACAATTCTAATATACCTATAATCTTATAATTCAACCTCATCATTCGCTTGATGAAACTGATGTGTAAAAGTGCTGCCTTGTAGCCTATTTGCAGAAATAAATTCAATTGTTTCACTTGATTATATATTCACCTTATTTTGCTTCAACAAATTAGTTCAAATTACTCAAAACTTAATATAATTTAGTCAAGAAGTTACCGTAAACTACAACCATTTATTAAAACACCTATAGTTAGTATTCATTTCACAGGTTTTCCTTAAATGAAGATAAAATGTCTTGCCATTACTGTTACAAATATTAACAATTTTCCTTGATTTGTTATTAATAGATGTAAATTGGAAGTTTAAAAATAGAATCATCATATGGTCTAAAAATAAGTACATGTAAGGCTTGATTTATTATTTATGGTTGTGTTTATCAAACTGTATTGTGGTTAAATGGTTGTTTGTAAGTATCACACACGGCAGAGATTCCATAAACCAAAATATATTATGGTTTATGGAACTTAATCATTCACATTTAATTAACAACTGAAATTACTTAAACTGTCAAACACCAAGTGGTCACCAGTGACCCCAACCTATTGTTCTATAATTGTGTCTACAAAGACAGTACTCAATGAGGTAAGGGATTAGGGTGTTAGTAATTTGAACTATTCTTAACTCGTCGAGTACCGTCATTATAGACACAATTATAGAACAATAGGTTGCGGTCACCGGTGACCGCTTGGTGTCTGACAGTTTAATTCACTCAAATCATTTAAATAAGTAAATACCAACATCATTTCAAATAGTATAAATACATTAAATCTATTAAATTCAATGACACATAAGCATTTTTGTTTTTTAGCTGATTAAGTAATTACCTTATTTAAAATGTACAATTTATATGATCTTAGTTATTTACCATACATTTGCCGTCTGACCTCTACAATCATTAAATAACCAGATCATTGCAGTACTGAATGTAGTCACATACAAAAATACTTTATATATAACTAAATCCATAAACAGCAAAATTTTATATGCCTGTTACTGTATTAGGATAATGAATTAGCTGCTTTATACACCTAGATCTTCTTAATTTTCATAATGGTACCAATTTAAACCATACCACTGTATCTTTGCAAGTTTACAAATCCTTACTAATATTATAAATCGGCTAGTGAGTTTGTCAGTTTGTTCCGCTTTCACGCTGTAACTTCTAGACCGATTGCTTTGAATTTTTGCAGATGTACAGTTAGAAGTCTAGATTAAATAATAGGGTACTTTACATCCCGGAAAAATTTGATATTCTCGAGGGAAAACCAAAATTATTGGTATAGATGGCACTGTGTGTATTGGTATATGTCATATAGAGGCTACTTTTATCCTTTTGTGACGCGAGCGAAGCCGCGGGTAAAAGCTAGTTGTAAATAATTCTTTAATAATTACAAATTCAATTATAAAATTAATGAAAATAGGACTTGTATTAAAATATTCCTTTTAAAACATGAACCTATGCTTCTGCATCACAAATGGGTTTTCTTTTGAATTGAGAACCCACAAATACAAATTTTACATATGCATCCCACATTCACACCCAGGCATGGACCAATTTGTGGATTCCATGAAGAATTATGCCATACATGAAAAAACCTACAGCATTACTGAATTTTTCTTATGAAAATATACCTAATTTAAGTATTGTCAATGCGAACAAATTTTTTGATGCTTTAATTTAATTTTCTCCATTAGTTTCAGTTTATTTTGAGTTTTACACATTTATTTACTTGCCTATTTATATTATTTTATGTTCACACATCAAATCCTATGTTACTACTATTCTAATGTTGTAATAATCTGGATGTAATAACATATGGACTGAAGAGCTGAATAGTATTCAAAACTTTACAACAAACAGACTTTTTATTCCCATTTGTTTACAATACAAGTTTTGAATTAAATAGATTCCAAGTAGTATTTCTATAGCACACCAAGTCACCTGTACGTCTCAGAAAAAAGGCAGAAGACAGAAATTACATGGATCTAAAGCCAATCTAATATTTAAACGCAGCATACAATGTACCATCAAGTGACTGTTTAAAACATTTAGTCTATTTATGAATCACACCGCAATACAAATACTAAGTAACCAAGCATTACTGGATTACAAATTGTTTATTAAACTAATATTAAGCTTGTGTGTGTATGTACTTAGCATTTGCAATGCAATGCCTAGCTACAGGTTCCATCTATATGTACATTGCTATGTTTACGAAAACTTAATGTGACTTTGATACAAAATAATAAGAATATACGTAAACATGCATTACTCACCATGAATGTCAAATTATCCTGTTTGAATAGTCCTCGTGTATCCTTCATAGAATCATACTTTATCACACTCTTAAGTCATTCAATTTATAAAACACTGTATTATATGTATTTCATTTCACACGTACACACTGAATATAAACTTCAAAAATGTTTACAAAGGAATCAAGCTTCAATAGCATAGTAGGTTGGATTCTAAAAATACATCAACATGATAAAACAGTATGAATGTGTTAACATAAAGCAACACAATGATGACAATATGTTATACGGATTGTGAATCCGGATTAACCGCTTCACGTGCGTGATAGGGTGCTAATAGTGATAGGCTGGAGCTAATGATAATACCAAAATAGATACATATGCACAATGGAAAAATAGAATTGCAAATCAAAATTTCTAGCTGTTACACTTAAATATACCGCATAAATAAATTTAAATGCACTACTATCACAGGTAATCTAAGGTACAAACGAATTAAACAAAATAATAACACTGATAATATAATCGAGTATAATATCACTGGACTTTAGAAAGTCGTAGGTACTCATGAATTGACCTGTATATTCAATAAATATGCTAAGGAATTACACTAACGATGTACAAAAGAATCCAAAACCTCTTATTCGATAAAATCACTGTATTACAACAAGAAACGCAAAAACTTGTAGCTGAGCAAAGTATACAAATAAAATATCTTCCCATCCACCATCACATAACCACCACTACTTGACAAGCACAGCACAGCACCATAATACACATAAAAGTATCGGTAAAAAATGGAACAACACTAGCGACAAATAACCGATATTTATTTCATATCACGTTTGTAGTCGATTATTGTAATAAAATTAACTTTATAGTCTGTGGCCTGTTTCCGTCTATGGTAATCACTCCATCGTAAATATAAACAAACTCTATGGTTCAGCACTTCAATTGTCAGAAAAGAAGAAAAGAAATCAACATTTCAAAGACGAATAGCCCAAGGTGTCAATCAGGGTATATTAGGTACATTTTTTGTGCAAAATAAAATTAGTTTAAGGCCTAAATAAAATCAACAAAATGGGAAAAGGGTTTAATAATTACATGTGCAAAAAGTTCTTCCATCCTGCATCAAGAGATAATTTAAAAAGGGTAAGTGAAGTAATGCGTATTGTATTTTATGCTATACTTTCGTTCGTAAGTTTCATGTTGTTTATCAATAACTTTGTATCAGCTGAGTTTTGGTTAAATATTAAACTATTTCATCGTTATGTATAGGTATGGATGGCAGAACAGAAAACAGAAGCTTACAAGAAAAAACAAGAGGAATTACGTGTTCAATATGAGAAAGAACAAGAATTACATGAAAACAAGTAAGTTGCGTGTACAGTTGTGGTTTTATTCGAGTTCTGACCTTGAAGTAAAAGCTATCTCACTAAACTATTATTTTCTTCTAGGGCATTGCTGAGCAAAGATAGTAAAGATAAATTGAGCCTGAATTTTATGTATGAGCCGCCCCCAGGCGTGAAGAAAGAGAGAGAACGTGAAGATAATGAACCTGAGTACAAATTCGAGTGGCAACGCAAGTACAATGCACCCAGGGAGAGCTATTGTAAGGGAGACAATGAAATCCGTGACCAACCTTTTGGTATACTGGTCCGCAATGTGAGATGTATCAAGTGTCATAAATGGGGTCACATAAATACAGGTAATTAGCATAATTATGTAATTGTATACTGGTATTAACATTGTGGTGTTTTTTATTATATTACATGTTGTTTTTTAATTACTTAAATATGTTGGTTGCTGTAATTGATCAACTGTTGTTACAAATAAATAAATAATATAAGCATCAGTATCATTAAAAATACTTGTGTAATGATTTTACAGACAAAGAATGTTCAATGTACTCCTTATCTATGAGTGAGGCTCGTGCCCTGCAAGCCTCTACTTCAGCTCCTGAAGAAGAAGAGGAAAAACCAGATGTTCCTACACTAATGCAGCAGATGAGAGATACTGGTTTGGTCATGAAACCTGGAGCTCTACCTCTGTCAGCTACAAAAATTGAAGAAAATGATTCTACCAGCTTCACTGAACAGGACCTCATTAGTCAACTGACTAAAAAGCAGAAAAAGAAGTTGTTGAAGTAAGTAGTGATAAGATTTTCTAATTAGACATGTGATATTTTATTACTATAATTAGAATTAGTAACTTTATCATACATTTTATTAGGAATCTATATCAGAAAAAGATTCAAAACATTGCTTAATCTCTCTAGATTAATTTGCATTTGATCATAGCTATTACTGACCTACTTGTGAACCAACACTTCAGTTAACCATTAACATCTTTACATTTATTATTTACAGGAAATTGGAAAAAATGGAAAAACGGTCCGATAAAAAAAAGAAAGAGAAGAAACATAAGAAGTCCAAGCATTAAGAGGTTAGCGCGCATTTAGCTTATAATTATGAGCTAAAGCTAGTATCTGGCCATGGCCAGAATCTCCATTTACTCTATGGCCTTAGAAATATCTACCTCAAGTGGCCTAGATTGCTGAAGCTCTTCAAAAGAAGCAGACTGGAAGGATGTCGATATTGTGCATGTGCTTATTGTTTATTTTTATTTGTAGGCCAGAACACCTTGCATTACTGTTTCAATTATGGTATACAGTTTATATCAATTCTATTAATCTTCGATTTTATTGTGAATAATTGAACAGTTGCATTATAATCCATTTATACTTTAAGCCTGCAGATATTTAACAATTAAAACATTTGTTAAAAATATGCAGTTAATATAATTTTATTGAAAAGACATTTCGTCTTTCTCATCTTAAAGTTGAAGCAAATCTTAAACTTTACTTAAGTTTATTAGTATGTTTTATTAATTTAATCTTGAAAAATAAACACGAAAGTATATCAAATATTTTTTATTTCTCACGCAAACAATAGATTCAACAATATCACAGTAACTTGATCATTAACATCTTTAATATATAATTATATAGAATTAATCTTGTCTAACTTAAAAAAAATATATATTAACAAAATATACTGTATGGATGGGTTGGCAAAATATAACATTTTTCTATGTTATAGTTTTTAAAATAAATGTTGAGATTTTTATTGTGTAATTATTTTTTTATTTCACATGTTTATCACACTTACTGCTGCAATCAATGAATATTGAGTTTCAGATAACTGTATCCCTAAAGTGTCCTAGGCAATTTTATAACTGTAGTTAAGTTTTCAAATAAATCCATAATGTATATTAACTCGTCGAGTACCATCATTATAGACACAATTATAGAACAATAGGTTGCGGTCACCGGTGACCGCTTGGTGTTTGACAGTTTAAAAAAAAAGAAATATTAAACAAGTTATACACAATTAGAGACTCACCAGCTAATGTGAAAAGAAAACTATCTAAATCAGAGTCTGTTGTGCTCAAGGTACAAATCATTATTTAGTGTGCTCTATTACTTTGAAGTCATATTGCTTAGCTCTCTTTACATTATGAAACTTTTGGCAGTTTTCTAATACTTTTAAACAAGCAATTTTATTGAGCTATGTGAAAATTTGAAGAACCCGGCTGTCCAGCCACTTTATCATATGAGTTGTCTTAAATACTACAAATCATAATTATTCCTAATGATTACACATTAAATCAGGTACCTATAAAATATCAAATTTTAACATAAGTCTTTTCATCAATTTCTATAATGTCCTGCCTGTCATTTCTTTCTTTCCAATGCAAGTATAAGACACATCCAGTAATAATTACTATGATAGCAGTCAATACAAACACACTTTTAAGAATTACCTTACTAGGTGTAACAAACAGTTGAGCCTTCCACTGGGAGGGGTCACTGGGTGGTGCTGGTATTACAACTATCTGAGAATTAGGTATAATTTGAGTCCAACTTTTTGAAAAACCTGAAAGGCCCACATTCAAAGTGTCTACGAAATTAGGAGTACGATCCAATCCAAAAATGGAATATGGCAGTTGTAGCGAAAAATATGCAGACTGTGAGAGTTGTGCACAAACACCTGTTCTGTATGTCCCTTCTTGTGACCATGTGTTGTATCCTATTTTGGGGCCTGGTAGATTGGTGCCTGCAAATAACAAAAATTATAAATACCAACCTAAATATTTCTAAAACCAACAAATTAAAAAAACAATAAAGTTAAATTTCAATACTCACCAAATGTGACTTTTCTGTTGTACAAAGTTCTATTATTTACTGGCAGTTTCTCATTGGTCAATCCAGTAACAACAATAACTTTAATGAAATTTGTATCATATTCTAATTCATTTCTGAATGAATGCATGGTATATTTCAGTGTGGTTGAATTTTTCTTTACATATATTATATCAAGTACACCATCCATGTAGAAATCGTAAAAGGTGGCCATTATAACATCTTTGCCAAAGGAATCAAACCTGTCCCATTGTACTTCAAATGTTCTATAAAACTTGCAACCTGGCAAGTTACACGGAATATTGTGAAGTAGAAAAGCCCTGGTTTCATTAGAATTCACAGGACTTAGTGTCATCAAGATGTCTGGGTAGCCATCCATATTGTAATCTCCACTTCTCATAGTGATAGTATCTAAATAAATTTCATCTCTTGGGGGTACAAAGCGCCATAATGTTCCTTTACCATCATTGAAGTCCACTTGAAGGTCATGCCACTTCTGATTATCATAAATTAATATAGTACTATTGAGGCATTGAAAGTCATAACAAACAGGAATAACTAAAAAGAATTCACCAGAGAGAGCAACATCTAGAAACAATGCTTGACCATAAATAGTTGGATGGCCTACAAGTAGTTCAATACTATTGTTAAATCTGAACCCATCTAATTCATCATTCAGCCATACTTCAACATTAGTAGTAGTTGTAACAAGCAAATCTGCAGCATCATCTTCATTAACATCCAAAAATGAGTGTGAATGTGGCAGTTTTATCATCTTGAACAAGTCATCTCCCATTTGCTTTTCGACCGGTGTTGTTCTTGTTTCATCAAACACCCAAAACACTCTTTGGTTTTGTGTATTCATTCCAAAAAGGTCCAGAATCATATCTCTGTTGTAATCCATTACTAATGGCTGTCCTACTGAGATAGCCTTTATAAATAAAGCATCAGAGCAGTTCAGAGTAGGCTCTCCGCCCCATAATATTCTTACCGTATGTAAATTAGAAGTATCATTTATACTCTGTGTCGTTAACAATATGTCCATGTAAGCATCTCCGTCAAAATCGCCTGGCACAACACTTGTTATAATTATGTTACTAAAATTACAAGAATATATGGAAGGCCTCAAGAATGGCTCCTTATCGTAAGCTAAATACACATCCACGCTTGAGAAATTTTTAATAACAAAGGCATCAGTTAATTCGTCCGAGTTGAAATCTCCAAACGCAGCTATAACACCTTCTTTGTGTTTTCCGAAAGAGCTCTCAGTCATATCACTTATTGCATAACTACGTGTCAATACGACACTAAAAATAATGTTATAAATTAATATTTGGAGGAACATTTTGCGTTATTAAAGAAACATTTCACAAAGAAGTCAACAATATTTATTTTCTATGTCGAACCTCGACTCGAGCAAACAGTTGTTAACGAATGACGTTATTGACGTTTCCGATTTCCGATTAGAGACGTCATTTCATTTTTACGAACAATAAAAAACCGGATAACCGGTTCTCATATATTTAGTCGATTATTACAATTGAAATGAATAAACAATCAATGTAAAACTATGGAATAATTACGATTATTGGTGTAATGATAAAATATGCAGATCGTGCCGTGCATGGGAAACTTTATTTATAACTACTTGGAATAGAATGTCAGCTTCAGTTAAACATTTTGACAGCAGTGGTAAAAAAAAAACCAAAATCACTAATGGCGATGGAATTGGATGAAGGCGATAACTTATTGACGTGAAAAGAATATTGAATTAAAAAGTCTAAGAATAATTAAACCATACCTTCGATACGCTAAAATACCTTTACTCAAGTGATTCATTTCATACTTTTCTAGTAATTGTAGCATACGCTCGAAATGGCTGTCGAAGCTGTACAAATATTGAGACGAAATCGACCCGGTTCTAAAGCAAAGGTATAGTATTTTATAGTGTTTAAGATTGAAAGCCTGTACGATTATTATTTTTTCATGTAAATGTTATGTTATCTTAGGATTTTTGTCGCTGGCCAGACGAACCCTTTGAGGAAATGGACAGTACCCTTGCAGTCCAACAATTCATACAACAAACAATTCGACGCGATCCCTCAAATCTTGAAGCTATTCTGAAAATGCCTGAAGCTCAAGATGAAGGTGTTTGGAAATACGAACATTTGAGGTAAGTTTAGGCACATTAAGAATAGCAATAGCTACATAAATAAATGAATACCTTGACAAATTAATGTTTACTTAAATTTATACCTATTTGCAGACAATTTTGCATGGAGCTCAATGGATTGGCAGTAAAATTACAAGCTGAATGTAAGCCAGAAACTTGTACACAAATGACTGCTACAGAGCAATGGATTTTTCTTTGTGCTGCACATAAAACTCCAAAAGAATGTCCTGCTATTGACTACACAAGACACACCCTAGATGGAGCTGCTTGCTTGCTTAACAGTAACAAGTACTTTCCCAGCAGGTATGTCTGTACAATGATTCTAATTAACTCATTGGTACCATCATTATAGACACAATTGGTTGCGGTCACCGGTGTCCTCGCAGTGTTTGACAGTTTAATAATGCAATAGCATTATGTAAAATGTAATCTAAACAATGTTATTCCAGACTTTAATCTATCTCGTTCCTAATTTCACTCAGATCTGTTTAATTGTGTTTGTATGAAAGAGTCATAAACATCTACGCAAACATCCTTAGAAACGTTTACTTGAGTATGTAATATATATATCAAAATTATAGAAACTTTCATGTATGCAATATTTTTGTTACAGGGTGAGCATCAAGGAATCATCAGTAGCTAAGCTGGGTTCAGTTTGCAGAAGAGTCTACAGAATATTTTCCCATGCATACTTCCACCATAGGGCCATCTTTGATGCCTTTGAGAAAGAGACTCACCTTTGCAAGAGATTTACTTATTTTGTTACAAAATATTCAATAATTTCAAAAGATATTCTGATCCTGCCCAAGCTGGATGATGAACAACCTGTCGGTGAATCGGAAGCCTGAGGTTTAAAGAAATAATTTGGTTCTAATTTTGAACCAAATTATAATCAATACTGACTGTTGTGTTCACAATGATTTGTGATGATAACTGAAGTAATCAAGTTTATGATAGTGTACCAACTAAAAAGTTACACAATTAATATTCCTTACATACTTCGACATATTTGATCAATAAATGTCATAAATAATATTTGGCAAATACTTTAGATCCCAGATACCAATATAGTCTGGATGATACTTATTGTTACTTAACATAGTATAAAGTTGAGATGTATGTAATCATTGCATTTATAGCTATTGTGTAAAGATGTCCAAAATTTTAATCCCTATTTATATGCATAGTAACCTCTAGTATTTAAATTATGTATGTGAAATTAGATCATTTAATAGCGATTATGCTCTCAAATATTAGTATGTGTAATATTCTCGTGTCAAGTAAATGACCTAACTGTTATTTATAAAAATATACCTAAGTAAAATTGTGAGTTCATTATGTAATCTCTCTCATATTTCCTGTGCACAATAAAACAAGTATATTAAAAAGTAAATTATTTATGTTTTCTTATGTTTAAATGGTTTCTTAGGTTTATGTGATTGGTTATGCTTTGAGTTGCTGCTCTGTTCCTTTTGCCAAAATTTCTTTCCGTTCAGGCTTTGGTACCTGTAAAATGAGAGACGATACATTTTATTTTATACAATCATATCATTATAATTTATGCAAATTAAACTTGTTCATCTCTTAAAATAATAAAACTATATTTTACTGCTGCAGCTATATTAAAATCCATGTGTACATCACCATGCTCTTACAACTGATCGTTAGTCATATAATTTTCCATTTAAATGATATAAATTGTGTTCATTATAAGCACTCACCCTACTTGGCTAGTATCAGGGATAGCATCCACTGAGAGCAGTATGTGTATAATAGGTATTTGTCTCTTTACTACTAATGTCTCAAGACCATCTATTTTGGGTTCCCAATATTCTTCCACACTGAAAACAAATTAATGTTAGACTATTAGACAAGGCTATTTCTTTTAGAAACATTTCTTTTTATGCAGGTGGCCTAGGTAAGTCCTAAAAATGATACAAAAGTAGCATCCTTACAACTTAGAATACATACATACAATTGATACTTAAACATTTTATATGCTCACTGCAATCTCCAGGCTCTCTTCTAACCAAGGGCAATATGAAACAACCTCGCTTAGGAAAATGACTATTTTTCAGTTTGACTAATTACTGTGACCATTAATATTTTGACCTAAACATATTAAAATATGTAATAAATTCATTAATCAATGTGGCATGTAACAAATTTTGGCAGTTTCATTAGGTCAAAATAGAAGTGGTCACAGTAATTAGCAGGGTCCGATGAATATATAATTGAAATATTTAGAAACTGGAGAATGGCTGAGAAGGCTATGTTGAGTAACGGACATAGGTATTAGCCTGAGGCTGATATTGATTAACTTGTTGAATACCGTCATTATAGACACAATTAAAGAACAATAGGTAGCGGTCACCGGTGACCGCTCGGTGTTTGACAGTTTAAATATTGAAAACATGTTAGATGAAGGTGAAGTATAATAATTACAGTTCTTACGTTTTGTATGACAGTTTTGTAACCTGATGTTGAATGGAAAACTGTCGTTTTAATATTTCAGCACATGATATGGCCTTGGAAATGGCTACTCCAGCCCCAGTCCACACAACAGCAGTGACTGCCTTATCTTCCAGAATACCTGCGGCATGGGACAGTAAATTGGACATCTTACTGCCACCTTTCACCTATAATAAAAAAATAACACTTCAAATAGGTATTACATATATATTGTGCAATTACATTACATGAACTAAAATTTCTGCCATCTAAACGTGATTGATTTAAGAAACAGTAAAAATAGTAATGAATGGTAATGGTACATTTTCACTTTCGAATTGTTATATTTATAAATAAAAACACAAGGAACATCTTACTTGCATCCACAGAAAATTTTCTGGGAGATCTTTAATAGGTATTTTGCTTCGTTCCAGTTCTTCTTCCACATTTTTACCTTTACTGTAGTTTTCCATTTTATCAAGCTACTTTAATCGAAATAAAAAATAACGAATCTGACAAAGGGTTTATTAGTATATCAACACCACACTTCGTTCATTTTTTTAACCTCTAAAATGTTTATTTTTATAGTAATGACATTAGAATTGACAGTCTTAATTTGACAATCTTGACATTACACTCTTGATGTCTTCTCATTTGGTTGCCATAAAAGAAAATTTGTGCTCTAGGTATTGCCCTTGTATCATAATATAGCTTCATGCATTTTGTTCCCCAAAGGCCAATCTATTTTTGCCACTTAATTTCCCTCATTTGACTCGATTACAGTTTGAAGATGAACATAACATAACATCACTTTTCATTTAAAATTTAAGTCCCATTGGTCAAGTGGTTGCAAGTGCGACTGACGAGCAAGGTTTCGAGTTTGATTTCCGGATCAGACTAAGATATTGGGGATTTTTAGCCTTGCAAAAATGTTTTAATCAAAGCACAGAGTTTTACCATTACGCCCGGCTGGTCAGTGCATTTGCATGACAATTGGCTCATCTATTATTACACGACACGGAAGTCATAACATAAGTGGGTAGACGCGGGAGTAACATACGCACCTTAGCCTAAGGGTGCGACGATTTTATTAAATTAATAAGTTTTTTAAATTTCTACTAACGATAGATAGGTGTCGCGGAGAACCTAACGGGTAACCGGGGCTCCGGCTCGACGTGCAGGAGAAGGAACGGGGTCGGTAGTCAGTAAGAGTCTGACACTCCCTCCCGCCTCACCCAGTCATTCGATGATTTTCCCACCTTAAAAAAAAAACGATAGATAGGTACATAACAAGTTAAATAGGTACTTAACTACTTACATTAAAAAAAAATAAGATTTGACATTGGCCAAGTTTTTAATATTTTAATTTCCAATTCAATAACTTCGTCCGGTGCCAAATTTCGACTGGGATAACAGACAATAACCCCCAAAATGAACTGGAATGGACCAGTACACTCGGAAGTTAACTTCCGTTCGAGTTTTACAAGTAGATAAGCGAGGGTTTTAGGATTAGGTATAATTGTCTTATTTAAACGTTTCTTGGCAAAAACCGATACTTAGGTACTCAATCCTTTCCTTAGGGTACGTAGGTAAGTACTTAAGTTCAATAAAATTTAATTTAATAAGCTTATGTTAATTATTTACCTACCTGCCCATTTAAGATTAGTCTATGAACCTATATGTGGTAATATAGTATTAGGTACCTACGTACTTAAGGTAGTTACGAGAAAGGAAGTCTTGTTCTACCTGAATTTTAGTTAATGAAAACAAAAATATTTCTTTACTTAGGTATTAGTACCTAATCAGTTCATCATAATATGTTTTTCATTGTGTGCCGTGATGAGCCACCATAAATATGACCACATAAACCTCAAGTTTATAGTTCAATTACGTGGCGATTACTTTAGGATTACAATAGACATTATGGTTTGTATACCGTCAAGGCAATTATCATAACTTTACTTAAGAATAATAATAACTTTATTTCACGATAAGTATGATTACCTATAGCTAAATGGAATTTGTGGTTGACACTTGAAACCCGATATGGAGGATTGTAACATGAAGATTCTTTTATTGTTTTTCTCGAACGACTTTAGTAGAGTTATACCTGTCGCGGAGAACCTATCGGGTAACCGGGGCTCCGGTTCGACGTGCAGGAGAAGGAACGGGGTGGTTTTTAGTCACTAAGAGTCTGACACTCCCTCCCGCCTCACCCAGGCGGGAGCAGTCATACGATGATTATCCCCCCGTAAAAAAAAAGTAGAGTTATACCTACCACCTATAATTATGTATGCATGCACCAAATAAACAAATTTTTATACGGGGCCCCGCCAAGGCGCACTACGCTACTGGCTGCCAAAATAAAAGAAAGATTTTAAATAAATCTTAGAAAGAGCTTTCTCTTCTCTGAAATTCAAATTCAATCGTCACATTTTAGCTTTAATTAATGAAATAATTGGGTATATGAATGAGATACATTAATTGGATACTTCAGGAAGGGTCCCTGAAGTATCTAATTAGTTTATAGCCTATGGGCTATGAAACATCAAGCTGGGGTCAATAGTAGCTCAGTGGTTCGAAACTAGTAGAGCTTTTCTCAGTATATTCACGTGAGTAACCCGCGATTTCTAGTGAATTTAGTATGTCTCATGATAGTTATTACGCGAAAAATGTTGTTTATTTTTCCCCCACTACGGCAAAGCAAAAGGAGGCTATGATGACTTTAGTAATTACTGGGAAGCTTTTAAGTTTGGCTTACGCCCGTTGGGGCCCTTTTAGTACGGGGGCCCCGTATAATTGATACGGCAGATACGACGCTAGCTACGCCCCTGAAGGGTGCCCAACATAGTGTTATGTTGCATGAAATAACCAGCAAAGGGAGGTTATTGCATTGAGTTGCATTGATTCTAAGAATAAAAGGAGTGATCTTCACACAGGTAAACGAGTACCTACTTAAATTTCACCTTCAAGTAACTTGGATCCGTCACATCAAACATAGATAGGTACGATTATATTGATACTAAAACGGGAACATCGTTTATTTGCCTCTCCACAAGTAAAGGTTATCACTTGCGATGTAAATGCGTATTACAAGTCATGGCTAAGCAGTTATCTTTGCCGAGAAATGAATAGCCAATATAGTCAGTAGAGTATATTCCGTTCCGATCATTACTCGGTAGCTAATATTAATAACAAATAACAATGCATATCTCATTCATTTACCTGTTTTGTTTTTCTTTCGTTCTCGTAAGTGCTCGAAATGCTTTTATTATGGACGAACGGTTTGTGTGCACCGTTAAGAGGTCGTGTCTAGAGTGTCTGAAGTTGCCTCAATGCTCGTGGTGTCCAACAGAAAACAAATGCTTTTCGAAAACCCTGACGAAGTCTTTGGACTATTGTGGCAATGATACTATTCCTCACTTCGATTATGGATGTAAGTTTTAATATCTTTTCATTATAAGTAAATGATATTTTTTTCCCAGCACACCGCTCATGGGTATCCGTCCTCCTTCGTTGATCTCTCCCTACGTAGGGAGGATTTTCTGGAGTACTTAAGCTACTCGATATGTCACTTCAGCAGGTAGGAATCCTAAATTAAGAATATTTTCATAGAAATAATGTTTCACGTAAATCACGTAAAAATCATTTATAGCTAAATCTATCTATGTAGATACTAAAAATTGATATTTCTTCGTATTTTTACGCTGCATACTTGACACCGACTAGAGAGTATGCCTAGTGATCTTTAAGAGAGATAAAATATGTTATACTTACATATCCTGAACTGGGTTTAACCGATCTCATTTGTTGACGGTCTCTATCAATAAATTTACTATAACACACGAAACTTACGTGTCTGAATATTGTGAATAGAGCGTGGACGCAATATTAATGTCTTTGTTCATATCTGGACAGTGAGTTTTGAAGAAAACGCCGAGTGTTCGTGCAGTAAAGGTGACGTGGGTCGGACCTGCTATCCACCCGGTGTCACCGAAGGGCCAGAGTGCTCCGGCCGAGGCACATGCGTTTGTGGCCAGTGTGTGTGCAACCCGCAACCTGATCCTCAATACCCGACCAAGGTAAACTAATTAATTGTATATTTCATACACATAGTAAAGTCCTGGTAGATAATTGTAAAGTAACGCTTGGCTAATCTAATAAATAGTCACGAATTGATCACCTCGAAGACACTGCAGTTACACTCAACATATATGATCAAAGTTGTCTGTTACTGTTAAGTTCTCAGATCAAGCAAATTGTAAGACGGTATAATATATTTCTAAAATTAAATCGTCAGAATCTCTTTAAATAAATAATTCAAAAACATTATACTTAGTTAAAATGGTACTTATTCATCCCCCGGCCGTTTCTTTTTACGTCTATTCAAGTCTTTATAAAAGGACATCTCTAATTAATATCTTTTAATCCGATTTCGTAATTTAAAGTCTATTTATATTTTCTTTCAGACGGTGATGGGAGAATACTGCGAGTACGACAATTTCTCGTGTGACGGCCCTAAATGCAATGAAGGGCCATATTCTCTCACCAACCCTAATGTAGTGGACGATCAAACTAAAACGACCGCTGTTGAAATACCGGCTTCGTAACATTAAGTTGAACTGTTCATCTATTATTTACTTAATTTAAATATACCTAATATTAGAATCTGTTAAATGATATACATATATATAGTATACTTTAATAAATACCTATGTTAAGAATGTTTATAGCACAGTACGTACTTAGATATTGATATAAACTTGTTATAATCGTGTTTATGTGACTGTCTTATCGTTACCATTGCGAAGTAATGGTTAAAGGTTAAAAGTAATTTATAATTAGCTGTTTATTAAAATGGTAAACCCATTAACCGAGCTTTTCCATAAATCAGCCCCTTTTGTAAAATAAATGAAGCCATCTGAAGTATGTACGTTATAGGTCGAGAGATTTCAGTGTAAAGTGAAAAGTTCGCAGAATTTCTTTATAGTCGAGCTATGCTTAGCTATGTTATGAAGAATGCTCGGGTGGCTGGGAGCTGCGGCGGAGGCAATGAGGTTTTCAGGAGAAGCGTTGGAGCGGAGAAGCCGCGGCTCAATTAAGAAATTGATATGAGCCGGGCGTCTGTCGCGGATGGCTCATCGTTCTCAAGTGCTGCCCGTTATGGTTACGCGAAATTAGATTTCAACGAGTCTATTTTCTCTGCACAACGAGTTCACCTTTTATTTCCTCGATATTTATTGAACGGCTGCCTTAGATGTCGGAGCACTCCAAGATCGTAGTATGCATGGCCGCGATTTAATTAGAAATTGATGTTGTTAATTAATGGGTGGATTTCATTAAGGATTACAAACAATGGAATTTGTAATGGGAAATTGTGATAAAAGGTGATTATTGCGATTAACGTTGGATAACGTCTCTGTCTCTGAATATCAGTTATCAGTTACCAAATATTACTCCATCAATAGAAAACTATTTTATAGGTTTCCAATCATAACTGGTACAGGGAAGTACTTACTACTAGTTTAGTAAGTAGAGTAAGAAGACTACTTATTGACAATACAGTACCTACAGTAAGTAAGTAGCATGGCAACATTGTATTCTTACTGACAGACTATTATTCCGATCGGTTAGATCTCTATCCCCTATCTCGTACATTTAGGTCATTCGCCACACAGTGGTAGAAATGTTTTTTCTTCACAACTTGTGGAGACGCTACACTCGTTAAATGACACAATAAACTGAAATAGATATCTTGAATGGGACAGAATGCGGATTAAATTTTAAAAACATAATACTATAGGTTTGCTACGTGCCTTCTTGCTATATTTTGTCATATTGTTCAGAAAACAACAATCTGATTTTCTGTTTCACACGAAACATTGTAAATCGGTTTGAAAAATGCATGAATTAGTGATTGCATTTTGATTTTTTTTTAAACGTTGCCCCACACTAGGATTTTCTCCTGTGTCGTGGGTGCCTTTACAAACATACAAGTTCACATACACATCACACCCAGACCCGGAACAACAATTTGTGGATCACACAAGTGTTGTTCCGTGCGGGAATCGAACCCGCAAAACGTTGCACGGCGGCCGGTTGCCCAGCCACCGTACCAACCGAGCAGTCAAAATGTAAACTCACTTATTCTCAAAATAAAAGATGTTGTTATAAAGGAAATCTTTTGATAATTTCATTTAGATTCTTAAGTTTAGCAGTAAAATTAAAATGAGCATTTTAATTTTAGTACTCATTTTAATCTTGGTCGGCACTCGGCACACATGTCCTCAAACTCCTGTGTCAGTGATGAGCACAGGTAGTTTGATAGTTGTAGTTTAACTTATTATGAATGAAGTCATACTAAGGACGCCGTTGGCCAAATTATAAACATCAAAATGTTAAGCCCATTAGGGAAAGCTCAATTTACCAAAAAAACGTTGCAAGTAAACGGCGAAAGATAGCAATGCCGTAAATACCTCCTTAATAAAATAAAACTGTCACCACAGTAAACGAATTTGTGTTCAATAATTGTGGCGGAATGTGGGCCTCGAGGAGCTGGGAGGAGATTCGATTATGGGGGAGAGCGCTTAAATTGTTTTAGTCTCGATCAGCATCATATACTATATATCCTAGGTAGTAGAAGCCGTTGAATAACATAATTATTACTATTTCAAGAAAATGAAAATTTATTTAAACATTCCTAATATTATTAATGAAAATCCATTTACTATATATTCGCCAAGTAATCGATATTTTTTGTTTGTCTGATCTCTCCGTAAAAACTGCTGAGAAAAATTACGAAATGGACACACCATTATGTTGGTTCAATGCTATGTAATAATTAATGAGTAAAATAAATATATAATAATAAAAATAAACAACATAAAATAACTTTATTTTAAAATAAAAAGTAACATTAGCGAAATGTTAAGGAGTTTGAATTATTGCTACGCGCTACGCCGTAGTCGTAGTCGTAGGTAGTAATCCATATTTCATTTGCTGGACAACAGTTCAAACTCACAATACCTTCAGTGGTTTATATGCAGAAATAATATAATATATAATAAAATAATAAAATGTTTATTTGGTGTAAAAAGCCAGATTACAAAATAAATCTTAATATCTAAAAAAAGTCTAAAAATATGTGAAACCTGAACTAGGTCCAAGCCTGTGTTTCAGGTTAAAAATGTACTGAAATATTTAAAATACAATAATATTGCTTATAAAACTAAAAATGTTATGTCTAAATTAAATTAAGCTAGTCTCTAAGTATAACAGGTGCGCGTGTACAGTTTCATAAACAAACGTAAGCAAAAATAACTAAGTCAACTATAATAAAATTATTTGCTTACTTCAAGTAATTCCTCGGTTTGATCGTATGTTAAGGTGTGTACATAATTATGTAATAGTTTTTTACAGTGAAAGTGATTGAGGCTATAAATACTTAATTCTCTATTTATTCTATTGTATAAAAATGGGCCAAGAAAGATAAAGAATCTTTTTATAAAAGCGTGTTTTGACACTGAGGTTGAAGTGCAAACCATATCATTCCGCCTTTTGTTAGTAAGATTATTAACATTGAAGCTGAGTAGTGAATGTTGTTTGAGTATTAGCTGTACTACATAGATTTGGCGAACAGTTAAAACTTTGCAGGATCTATATAGCATCGATGTAGGAAAGAGAAAGGGATGGGAAAATGCAACTTTTAGGATGGCTCTCTGAGCACGTTCTAGAGGGAGTATATTAGTTTTTGATGCGCCACCCCAAGAAGTAACACAGTACTGGATAATTGACTGACATAACGCTAGGTAGATTTGAGTGATTAGTTTAACATCTCCGATTTGTCTAATTTTTTTAAAAATGTGCATCAATTTCCTGACACGTGCAACCAAAGCGCTGATGTGTTGTTTGAAACAAAGAGTTTCATCAATTGTGATGCCTAGATATCTGATGGAAGTAGTTTTTAATATACAAGGGCAGTTGCATGTGTCCACTGGACTAATTCTACATTTATGTGCGTATAATTGGGGTGTAACAGAGGTAATTGGACTCTTGCGCATAGAAAAGTGAATAAATTTTGTCTTCTCCGCATTTAGTGTTAGTATATTAGAGCAAAGCCAACTATTAACTGAATTAAAAGCCAATTGAGCATTACAGTACAGTTCATTGTCGTTATTGGATGAAAAAATTAGGGCCGTGTCGTCAGCGTATGATATTAGTTTCCCATGATGCATCTCAATGTTACATAAATCGTTGATATAGATCAAAAATAGGGTAGGACCAAGAATACTCCCTTGAGGCACTCCAAAACCAGTATTTTTCTGGAATGGGCTTGTGACGTCATCTATTCTAACACACTGGTAACGGTCATCTAGATAATCAGCAAAGAGGTTCAGTTGTGTGCCTCTGATACCCATACATTCCATCTTCTTTAGAAGCAGTGGAATAGACACAGTATCAAAAGCTTTGGCAAGATCAATAAAAATTCCTAGAACGTGGTTGCCTTTGCCGAGTTCTTCTGATATGAAATCTGTGAGTGTATGTACTGCATCAGCTGCTGACAACTTTGCTCTAAAACCAAATTGCAGTGGTGACAAGAATTTATTCATTTCTAGGTAATTTACCAATCTGATGTTAATAATCTTCTCAAGAATTTTAGATATCGATGGCAGTAGTGAGATAGGCCTATAATTATTAACTAGATTCTTGTCACCTGATTTGAATATAGGGACAACCACTGCCCTTTTAAGACATTTTGGAAAAATGCCTTTAGAGAGACACTCTCGAAAAACATGAGTCAGAGGTGGGACAAAAATTTGCCTATATGTTTTCAAGATCCTATTGCTGATTCCATCACAACCAGTTGCACAATTATCTTTCATTCCAGTTATGATTCGTGCAATTTCCTGTTCGTCTGTATCTAATAAAACAAATGATTTTTCAGTATTTGAGTGTAGTAAAGTTGTATTAGTCCGGGTTGTAGAGTTTAGCTGCAACTGTTGAGCGAGGTTTCTACCCACATTTAAAAAGTAGTTATTTACATTGTCAGCAGACTGAAGCGAAGTAGATTCCGTTAGTAGTAAATTCGAACATGATTCTCGCTGTTTGGACGTATATGTTACATTTTTTATGTGTTGCCAAAGTCTCTTACTATTTTTACCCGCCCGATGTAACGCGCCTTTATCGTAATCGATTTTAATCTTTTTCAGCAAATTATTGCAAAAGTTCCTGTATCTTTTGTATGTTAATTGTAGATCAAAATTATCAGGAAAACGTTTTGCTCTATGATGTAGTTTGTCCCGGTGTCTTATACATCTAACAAGCCCAGGCGTAATCCATGGCTTTATGTTATAATGTCTGTTATTAGTTTTTATAACTGTGGTATTACGACGAATAGCTTGAAGAGATAGAAATAGTTTTAGGTAGACTGTATTAAAATAATACATTACTGTCCTTGACTGTATTTCTTGTCTGTTTCTTATTTGGATGAGAGTTAACAAATGTGATGAAAACAACATTGTTAGTTAGCAATCGTTTACATAATCTAAAAAGAACCTTTAAAATCTTCATATAATTTGATACCATTGTTTGTATAACATAATAAAAGTTCAACTTTTATACATAGATTTGGGCTACGGCGTAGCGCGTAGCATGCAGATGCGTAGTACGAACATTTAATGTATGTAGTACAGTAAAACTAAATTAAATATGTTATACGTATGTACGTATTAATCTTACCAAACTTAATAAAGTTGTCTGGTATTTATTTTTAGTAACATAACATTACGCCTTTTATCCCCGAAGGTAGGTAGATGTGCACATTATGCCACTGACATTGACATTTATAGAATATTGTGTGTTCTCTTTTATAAA